GAGGGACAGCGCCAGAGACAGAGGGAGGCAGAGAAAGGGATGCAGAGAGACAGGGAGACAGAGGGACACGGGCACCAGGTGTTGGGAGGAGGGGATGGGGGAGGGGGGGCATCCAGCTCCGAGGGGCCAGGCCTGGGCCAAGGGGGGCTAGTCAGGCCCCGTGAGCACCAGCGGAGGCCCCGCTGCCTGGCCCTCACCCCTCCGCCCCTCTGCCCGCAGTGCAGTTCGGCTCCTGGTTCGACCACATTAAAGGCTGGATTCGGATGCAGGGCAAAGAGAACTTCCTGTTTATCACCTACGAGGAGCTGCAGGATGGGGCGCTGAGAACCCAGGAAGGCGGGGTCCTCGCGGGGTGCAGAGAGACCCCCTGCGGCTGTGTGGAGGCCGGAGGCCAGGGAGGGGGCTGGGGCGGAGGTCCAGGCAGGAGAGGATGAGGCTGGGGCCTCAGCTCTGGGGACAGGAAGGAGGGGCGGCGTCCCTCCTCTATTGGTCCACACCTCTCACCCTGATCGCCCCCATCCTGAACTCCGTGCCTTTCTCCTCCGCTCTGTGTTTCCTGAAGCCAACGGTCCTTCCTCCTGACCCAGAAACAGCCCCTCCCTCCCTCCCTCCCCCCAGCATGTGGTTGGAGGGAGCGCTCCCCGTTCTCTGGGACGAGGTGCAAGGATCTGAGCTGCCAGAAGCTGGGAAGTCCCCTGGGAAGTCTACCCTGAGTCCTTCCTGCTGCAGGGCCAGGAATGGAGCTCAAAACACAGCCTGGGGCCGGGGGGCCGGCCGCCGTGACGGACGCCTTCTCTCCCCTCCCAACACCGCATGCAGGTCATCTACATGGGCCGGAACCCCCGGGACGTGGCCGTGTCGCTCTATCACTACTCCAAGATCGCCGGGCAGCTGAAGGACCCCGGCACCCCAGACCAGTTCCTGCAGAACTTCCTCAAAGGCGAAGGTGAGGACGGGGGAGGGGGCGGGGAGCCCCTTGTGGCCCAGAGGGAAGAGGGACAGAGGGAGAGAGGAGACCAGGAGACCGAGAGAGAACCAAAGGCACCGACAGAAACACCAGGGAGAGGGAGCCAGAGAGAGACTGAGCTACAGGGACAGCGCCAGAGACAGAGGGAGGCAGAGAGAGGGATGCAGACAGAGAGACAGGGAGACAGAGGGACCAGGTGTCAGGGATGGGGGAGGGGGGCATCCAGCTCCGAGGGGCCAGGCCTGGGCCAAGGGGGGCTAGTCAGGCCCCGTGAGCACCAGCGGAGGCCCCGCTGCCTGGCCCTCACCCCTCCGCCCCTCTGCCCGCAGTGCAGTTCGGCTCCTGGTTCGACCACATTAAAGGCTGGATTCGGATGCAGGGCAAAGAGAACTTCCTGTTTATCACCTACGAGGAGCTGCAGGAAGTGACTCC